CCCCCAGCCGCTCCACCCGGCGCCGTCGTATCTCTTCACGGCCGCTTCGAGATCCTCTCACTTTCCGGCGCCTTTCTCCCTGCTCCGTCTCCTCCGGGGGCCACAGGACTCACCGTCTACCTCGCCGGCGGTCAGGCGGTCAGGGCCAGGTTGTGGGGGGCAGCGTTGTGGGTGAGCTCATCGCCGCCGGTCCAGTCATGGTGATCGCCGCCACGTTTTCCAACGCGACTTACGAGCGTCTACCGCTCGAAGAAGAGGAGCAGCAGCCTCCGACCGCAGGACCGCCGGATGCGACGGCGGGTATTGGAGAGGGAGGGGAGCAGTTTGGAGGGGAAGGTTCTGCTATGCCGCTCTATAATCTGCCGCCTAATCTGATGCCGAACGGACAAATGCCACACGATGTGTTCGCCGCCGCTTGGGCTCCGCGGCCGCCGCCAAGTTACTGATAAAAAAGTGATTTTTCTTATCTTTCTTGTGTTGGAAACGAAAAAGGAAGGTGATTTTTTTTCCATTTTATTTTATTTTTTTTGGTTTTAAACTTCTTTCTTGTTCGAGTTTCGCATGGCTATTTCTTTCATGTTTTTTGTGCATTAAAACCTAGGCTTCTGTGTTTAATTTAGAAATGTTTTCTCTCATATGGATCTGTTTTTCCTTTTTTTGTTTGTGTTATGAAGATTGAATTTCTGAATATAACTTTAATTTCTTTGTTTTTGCACCAGTATGTGGACTGTGGGAACACTGTTTGGCGCTAAGTTTTGATTAGTTATGACATGCTGTTTGCTTTGTTATATATATATATATATATATATATATATATATATTATTTTTTGGGGTAAATAATTAAAGTCTAGTTTTAATAAATGATTGTTTATATTAATTAATGTCTTGAGCTTCTAAGTATTTACTACAGGAAAAAAGTTGTATTTGGCGAAAAATTTATATTACCAATAGTCAACTAATGGATAACTAATAGATGTTTTGTCGATAAGATCTGACGGCTACGACCGCTCGTTTATATTACCAACAATAACCAATGGTTTATCCACCATTTTTCTTTCAACACGAACCTACTGGCATTATCTATTGCTAAGCCATCATCAGATAAAGTCTGTTAGAAAGTTCATAAGCTGCATAGTACCGTACCAAAGAGGCTAAATTTCTGTAGTGATTTGATCCAGAAATCTTTTGGGGAAGGAGTATATTAGATCAGCATAGGGTTTCACGTTTGATAAAGTCGTGGACTTGATCTTGTTTGGTGCTTAATTATTCATCAAAGTAGAGTATTTTGATGATCAGAATGTGTTGTAGTATGGGTAGGTTTGTCAAGTTGCTGGCAAGTGGGTATATGGTGGTTGTTTTGTCCTGTTTGATGCAGTTAAATGCTTTTGCAAGTTGGGTTTTGTGTACCTTCGTGGTTGGGGGGAAGAAATGACTATGATAAAGAGTTGTTGCATTTATTAAATTTATGATTATGAAGATAAGTTTTTATGATTAAAAGATGTTAAGGGCAGTTGTATTTATTATGATGAAACATTATATGAGAAGTTGACTTTAGTATAAGATATCAAGATAAGATAATGTTGTATGTATGTATGTTTGTATGCCTGTATATATATATAGAATGAGAGAGAGAGAGAGGGAGAGAAAGAGGGAGGATTTTAAAACTATGTATCGATGATTTTAGCTAGCACGTATAGTAATGGAAAGATATTGGATGATATACAACAGGTGTTTGTTGTGGTGGAAGGCAATGTAGCAAGAAAAGTTGAAAATTCTACTTACTGTAAAGGGAAAATAAAGCATGGGAAACTGTATTAGTGCACATGCGCTATGTCGTTTTCTTACTCCAGCTTAAATCTATCAGCAGCACATTCGTTAACATGTCGCATTCCATTAACTCCAAATGCTGCATTCAATTTGAATGAAAGAAGAAAGTGGAATTATGGAGTGTTTATCCCATACATTTTGGATAGAGCCCATGTACTTGGTGAATTTGCAAAGCTTTTTTAGAGAAAGCTCTAAAATGAGAAACTTTTTGCAGTCTGGCTTGTTGTTACTTAACAAATATTGATTTATTACGCTTCAAATTGTATCGCATTTGTCCTTGAAATGTGAGTCCTGCGCTTATGTGCTTCATGAGGGTGCATGAAATCAGCTTACAATTTAGTTTTTTGTTTTAATGAGTGAATGAAAAGATGGTGGTAGAACATCTAGCGATAATTGCTAAATTTTGCTTAGCTATTCTATAATGAAAGATGATGGATGGTCTGTCAATTACTGACTAGATATGGGTTGCTATACTGGATTTGACATTCACACTCATTGTATACCATCATATCATTAGGTTTATCTTTATTATTAGTTGTCTGAATTTGAACTTATTCTTTCTAGACCATAACTAAAATCTATTTTTCATTATTCATTGATGTGTTGTATGAATTTGAATTTATTATTTTTCATTATATATTGACCTTATTCAATATATAGATGTTGCTACCACCATCCTTATGATAAAGTTGCTCTCCAATTAATTAATTTTCTTAGGGTTATATATTAATATTCTTATTATTTTCACTCTTAATTTGACTACCAATGATTTTTTTATTATTGTCAACTCAGATTCATATAAAATGAAAGGCTTAATTTTAACTTTTAAGCTTACTTTTAATTTTTTACAATATTATTTTATTGCATAACACTTTAAGTATTTTCTTATTTTAATCATTTTTATGTATCCCTATTAATCTATGTTATAGATAAAATTTATTAACTCTAAGGCATTTAAGTATAATTTCTTGAATAATTATAAATTATATGAAGATTTAAATACATGTCATACAATTCCTATGTATTTACACATATCTAACACTTGATCCTTGCACTATTTTATGCTTGAAAATGTGTTTTACTTTTTCAAAATTAATCATAGTGATATTTTTTTTACAATATGAAATATTTATGTGTTATAAATGTAGAAATAAAATTTGATCATAGGTATGTAAATAAATAATAATTATGTGGCATGTATCTAAATACCCTAAATAATAGTGTGAATAATTTTTTTTAAAATATGTATATACTTAATGCCAAAAATAAAGGTTCAATCTTGACTATTTCTAAAATCACATAAAAAACAGTATTTTTTTTTGTTTTTTTTTTTAAATTTTTGGCAAAAATGTGTTTTTTTTTTGGAAATTGTAGTTTCCATAAAAAATTTCTTTTTTTTTAAAAAAAATTTTACCTTTCATATGCACACAATGATTGATCCACTCAAAATTGCATGTGTTGTTTACACATGTTCCATCAAACAATATAATCTTTACAATAAAAATGCAAAAATTGCACTTCTAAAATAAAATAGCAGCATGCACTCATTGAAAACTAACTTAAAAATAAATATTATCTATTATAAAATATCATCTATTTAATATTCACTCATGATTATTGTCTCTCCAGTCAATTCTCTTCGTCATCTAATTCTTTTGTTTCTGGGCTGTAGCAGTAACACATTCTTTTCAGTCTATTCATACTGCATGAAGCCACACTAATCTTGCAGTTTACTCAACATAGTAATTAGGATTTGGACTTATTAGGATTGTGCATCATATATTTTTTGTTGAAGTATTAATTAAATGAATAAAACATTAAAATAATAAATTTATAGTTGCCAGCTTCTATATTTCATGACACAGAGAGATGTTAGGAGAGATGCAGATAAATTCGTGGAAATAGATTGGAGAGACACAGAGCAAAATTTTGAATAGAAGCGCACAAAATAAGAAAACACAAAAAAACACAGAACAATAGATTTAACATGGACAAACCTTAGAACAAGAAAAAATTATGGAGTTACACTACACTTATGTACTATGAATAAAATTAGAAAAATTATGCAAGTTGCACAATACTCAAGTCCCTTCAAAATTTGGAACACTTTAGGACGCTCCTCTTTTGCCTTTAGCATAACAAAACTTGAAATCGCGTACCCTCCAATCGGCAAAACATAAACTTTAATTGAAAAATGATTCGAATTTGATTACGGGCAATGAGGCGCCGCGATATGGTGCTGTGACACTCCAATGAGTGTAAGGGTGTTGTAGTGTCGTGCTCACGTGTTCTAAATTTGGTTGGGAGCTGTGAAGCTACTTTTTTAGGTGTTGCATTTGCACATTGCAGCTTTCCCATCTTGGCACTAGAGTGCGTGATCTCGGATTCTAAAAGATGGAATGAGCATTTAGACATTGTATCTCGGGCGTTGGGCATGCTAGGTCAAGAAAAATTTAAGGGCAGCGCCGCCGAATTCCTCCCTATGGGCTATAATTGAACAATTAATCAATACAGTCCAGCTTCTCATAATTACAAGAGAGTTACCTATGCCTCCAAATACAAAAGATTTTGTTTTCTTGTTTGCCTTCAAATCCAGAAGGGTGACTAAATTTGTTCTACTCTTTTTTCTTCTTAAAGTCTAAATTTATCCACTCTATGTACTACTCGACCTACATGCTCTTACCAATCCACTTGAGTCTCTACATACCATGGTTTATTAATATTAATAAACATCTCATAAATGCATATCAAGACATGTCACTCATATAGTTTCTCTTGTTTTGTTCAAGATAATGGACTAGCAAGCCAAATGATCTCTTCTACAATACCAAAATAAATTATTGACATCTTAAAATTATGGGTTTTTTATTAAAAAACATTTTTTACTTTAAACTAGAAAAATCGTGTATCACAAACTCTAATAGGTATCTTCTTCTAAGGCACATAAGGAGATTCAAAATTACTCATGATATCTCTAATCTTAGAGGTTACATGTTAAAATGAGTTAAAATTTCATAATTGAGCTTAATAAAATAATAAAATTATTAAGAAAAAGTTATTACTAATTATGTAACGACAATCACATTCAATTCTTTTGTATCACAAAGGATTTCAATATAGTATTTGTGTTTGTGTGTAGCAACTAGATCCACATTCTTTTATTACATGTTAGCTAGGTGTGTGTTCATTAGGGTTAGGAGGGATAGAAAGTGGTGTCAAAGTAGATAGATTATTTAAGATGATAAGAGGACAAAGGTTAGTAGCTAACTACTTGTAGAATGATGGTATCATAAAAATGGCTTTATGCAGAGTGAATAGGAATGAAATGTAGTACTATATGATATGTTTCGTAGTTGCATTAGTTGTGGACATTAGATTGGATATCATGGTGGTTGTCATGTAGGTCGTACGTGTTCACATTTATTTTCGTATGTTGCTTAAAAATATATGAATTTAATAAATTTACCTTTGTGCTCATCTCCTCTATCATGAAAACTAAGAAGTTCAAAAATATATGGTAGTTTACTTTAAAAATTTTAAAAATAAAATAGATTACCAACATTAAAAATAAAATTAAAAGTTAGCTCTTGTTTATGTAATGTCAATGTTTCTTATATGT